GGTGTCTTACAGTCAGGCAGGTGCAACCATGTCTGCACACCGCTGCACCTGACCCAGTAAATCCTGCTTGTTTTGAAAGCCAGATCCAATCCCTAGGCCACAAGTGAAGTCGCCCTTTGGAACAGAGCAATCAAAAGTTGTAAAGCTCCTAAAAATGATACTTTTTCTGGATTAACCACTTGGCTACATTGTGTATATTGCATTTCCATCTTTCTTGTCATATTGAAGTGAACATTATTTATTGCTTATGTTATGAAGTATCTTGTAGTACAAATACAGGGTGAGAAATATAGCCGAATTAGCATTACAAAATCAACTTTAATATTGATGATAGATTTCCGAGGTTGCTTTTTTGGTTGACGATTATTTGGGTTTTTTTTCACTTTTGGTGGAGAGCAGTACTGTTTTCTACACTTAGTCTCTTTCTTTAAGCTGAGTGCATTTTGTATGCTATAAAAAATGTTTGTCTTTTTATTCTTTTTTATGATGTATTCTGTTTTTCTCAGTCCTGTGGTAGCTACTTGGTTTGGTGTTTATTTCATGTAGCAGAAAATACCTCTCACAGAAATGCAGAGGCAGCCTGACAGCAAGCTTCTCTTTGGGCATGTTGACATCATCCTCCTCTCTGAGCTCTAATTCAACTTTCAACACAATGCCTAAAACCGCACGGCCTCTGGGCACAAAAGATGAACACGAGAGTACACTTGTGCATTCTGTTGCCCTGTAAGCAAATTGCCTTGTTAATGAGGAGTCAGTCAAATAATGGGTTTGATAGTCTGTGCTTAGATTAGGTAAGATAAAGTGCAAAAGTGTTTTTTGGTGTATCACAGACAGCAGCACATCCTGTTCAAAGTTCAGGACTATGAAAGACATTGACTAATTCTTCAATGTCTCTCAGAAGAAAAGTCAAGATACAGCTATTTCACGTGTAATAACTACTCTTTGAAAAAAATGAGGAAGCCAGGATTTTTTAACTTCACTGATAGGCCAAACCAGAGCTGCACTTTGCAAAGTGCATATATACCTCATAAAAGACAACTCCTGCTTTCAGTTTTCTGTCTATATTTACATGGACTATGCCTGGAAGGAGGAGAGGAGAATGCCATTGCTTTCACATAGTAGATAAGGAAAAGAAGCTCTGTGGGTACGTGCATACGAACAATGTTTGTGGGGTGAACACTGCTTCCCCTGCTCATGATAACAAATCAGTGCATGCACACAGAGAAACCTGCAGATTGGATAACGTGCTGTGAACTGCTGCTTCGTGCTGTATCTTGTTCGAGTAGTCATACATGTAATGAATTGTATCTAAACTCTCTCCCAGTAAGTTCCAAGCTAACCCACAGCCTTTTTATTTCTGAATGCTCCAAACCCACAATGTAGTTGGTTGTCTGTCGGAGCTCTGCATTTCAGCAGCTGGAAGTTGATGGAAGAGAGGAGGGAAAAGGTATCCATATTTCTGTAGTTTTCTTTTCCAAGCTAAATAGCTTGGATGAGAGAAGAGGGAACATAACTGAATCACTCAGACAATCTGTTCTTTCAACTGGTGAGGTTGGGAGGTTAAAAGATTTTTACAAATAAACAATAAAAAAAAAGGTAAGTATTAGTTTATGTGTTTGACAGGAAGGCTGTAATTCTGCTCTGCTCTGTACCACATAAAATACTAAAATATGGAAATTTTACGTTATCTGTCCTTCTCTTGTAGAACTAGTACATTCTCTTCCTATCATTATGTCTCATCTGGTACATTATTCAAACTCAAGCCAAAGTATTCCACCACTTGAGATAGCACATAAACAAAAACAATGTGAAGAAGCTCATAATAAACACATCACAAAAACCTGCTTCTTCGCCTTCTAAAATCTTGCTTGCTTTGCTTTGACTAGGCAAAGAGCCCATCAAACCTGCTTGACCAGCTTCTTCACTGGGACACAGTCTGAAGGTAGACTGTGTTTTCTACAGGCAGCTCTTTGTCATCCTCAGCACATTTTCTGTAGTAGTGGATGCATCCAGGCAAAGTGATGGGACTCACGTCTCTGTCGTCCAGCAATCAGCCAGTGCCATCCTATCATCTGCTGGGCATAAGAGAACTGCCTGCACTGTAGACCCACAGTCTATTTGATATTGCTTTTGAATTTCCCTCATTCTGACAGAAGAATGGTTCAATGTTGGCACACATGGTGAATCAGCTTCAGGGCTGTTATAACCTGTTGGTGACGGCCTCCAAGACACTGGTATGTCAGGCCAAAGACAGCTGGTTGGCAGCAGTCCTGGCCATGCTCACTCTTTCACTAACTTCACATGCTCTATAGTTACGACATGGACAGCGGAAAGTGGTTTCATAAAATCTGTGCCTGTAGGGAACTTTGTATTTCATAGAAATATCCATATAATCACCAGATTTTTATTCCACAGTGGCAGGACAGGAACAGGATCTCATCTTAGCCATTTAGGATAATTTGTTTTAAACAGACAAAGTAAAAATCCTAGACATTCTCTCTGTCTTTTAAAAACTGGTTAGTTTCTTTAATGCAGTTGACCTCAGAGATTCACCACTGCATGTACTATAATTTGAATAAGAAATATGCTGCTCTCAAGATTGAGTCTAAGCAGAACTCTTCTTTGATAAACTAATCTTTGTAAAATCCACCATGCTGCTGTGATTAACAGGGCCAGAAGCTAGCTATTAGTTCTCTTTTTTATTTTGTTCTCTTTCAATAGACTATTTAGAGTACAGCATGCTGAAAAAATAGGAATGGGCTCCCCAACAGATACTAGTTACGGCTGTATTCTTCCTTTCGCCGGAAACACAAACCACACGATCCTTAGAGCAATCAGCACGAAACACATCATGTTAAATCCCTCATTTCTTTAGCATAATATGAAGTCCCTCTTTCTCTCATATTACCATTCTGTTCAGTCAGGTATGTGAGGTTTTTCTAGGCAACAGGTGTTTTTTGAAATAAAATACAACCTTCCCTTCAGCTCATTATGTGAAAGAGACAGCAGCTGCAAGTATAATGCTGAGGACACATGGTGTGTAAGACACCCAGAAGAAAAATACTCCTTGTTCCACTTGATAAGGTAAAGCACAGATGTTGCTTCAGTGATAAGCATGAGCATAAGGCAACCACAGTCTGCTTCATGTTGTAAATTCAGAATCTAAGATTTCAGAGTATTTAGCAGGCTGCAATCAGAATCACCGGTTTCTTTATGTAAGGGAAAGTTGTTTATGTCTAATCTTATAGTCCTAACAAATACTCCTTATCACAGTTTGCATTACACTATCATCAACAATATGCTAGGGACTATCCACAGCCTAGTCAGATAAATTATTAATAATCTTTTATATGGACTCAATTATGAGTATAAAATAGTGACAAATGCATAAATTAATACACTTACTGATTTAAACATTTACAGATAGTGTATATTAAAAAGGTTTTAGTCATTTAGAATGTTAAATGCAATTTTTTCCCTGCTTAGTGTTGGTAACTAAGGCTATTTCTGTATCTCTCATATCCAGACTGTTGAAAAATCAACTGCAAAATAACGGTGTCTAATGAATGTAATGGCCAAAGCCAGAACCGATCCTTTCCAGGGAGTAATTCTCTGCTCAGTGAGGTTGATAATTCCTTCCCCCCCCCCCCCCCCTTTTTTTTTTTTTTCCCTTTTTTTT